CCGGGGAGATGGCCACGCTGCAATCCCTTCTCCTCCATTCTCCTCTCAGATCTTGGGCACGTACGGACACATGCCTGGCATGAGTTTAAGCCACCGGGTCTGGGACTCGAACTGTGGTTGGCTACATGGGAGTCCAGCAGCAGCCATTATGCTAACTGCTGGTCCTGTGTGTGTGTTTCTTAATGTGCTAAGGGAGTGAGATAAAAAATTGACAAAAGTAATTTTGGGGAACACTTTATTGGTCCGTGAAATCCCAAAAGGAAGAACTGGTCTAGGGAGAGAGAGGGGAGCTCAAATGATTCTTAGTGCCTCCGAGGGGTTTTGGCCTATGGTTGCTGCCCCTCCAGCCCCCTCCCAGCATGCTAGACAATAGAGGCAGCCCCTACACGCACAGCACCCTCTCCAGGAAGGAGCTGAGAGCCTTTTCCTTACTCATTGGCCCGGCCGAGCTAGCAGCTGGGGCCGGGCTGTGGGTGCCTTGGGCGTGAGGGCTCCTTCTTATCCCACTCAGTGCCTTACCAGAGACTGGGCTCTCCGGGGGCCTGGGGCTCCTTGGGGCAGGGTAGCTGGGCTCTGGGCTTTGGTCTGTGCTCACCAGCTGATCCTGGCAACCTGGTTCTTCACAAAACCAGGCTCTGGCAACCCTTTCTCTCACATTTCAGCAAGACAACTTTGTGCCACCCTGGCCTTCTGCCTTCTCCTCCTACAGGTAGCTTTTTCTTTCCTCCCACGCTCCAGCAAAGACCAAGAGGAAATGAGGACGTAGCATTCAGGGCTGTCGTCTTGTTGCTCAGTGCCAGGGGGCGCTGTAAAGATCCCTTGCACCTGTGGCTTCTGGAGCTCTGTGCCAGCCCACATGTGTCCCTTTAGCCCAAGCCTGCCTCTTCCCCATCCTACACACACAGCCTTGGGGAGTGGTCTCTGCAACTGTGCCTTGCCCTCCCAGGCACGTCTTTGCATGTGGGTATCACCCTCCGGTTTCTCCTGTCTGGTGCCAGGATTTCTTGGAGGTTTCTCTTCTATCTTCGGTGCCCAGTTGACGCAAGCACGACTGGCTTCCTAGCAGGCACCCTCTTCCAAAGGCTGCTGGATTCCGCAGAGCATGCTGTGCCTGTCTTTTGTCCTGGCCTTTTTCTCCAAGCCACCTCCTGGCCACCCTGGCAGACCGTGGTTCTGGATGGATAGCCTATCAGATTTCCTCAGTACCACCTGTGTGCCAGTGTGCCTGAGCTTGTGTTAGATGCCACCTCTCAGTCCCAGCTTCTGTGGGAAAGAGATGGGTGCCCAAACCCTGCTGCCCACAGAGCGCTGCACTGGATGACCCAGCGTTCCCACAGAGATGGGGTTGCGAGGTGTTTACCACTGCGTGCTCTGGGGTGCAGTGGGACAGCTGCAAACAGCCTAGCCGCTGAACAGTGAGGAACTGGCTTAGGAAACGACAGTCCGTGGGTATGAGGAAGCTGTCCTAACGTGATGGCATCAGGGAGGCCCACGAGGAACGAGCAGGTTGCTCAGCAGTGTCTGTCCTGTGACCCACTTCCGAGAGAGGATGAGCCTGAGCAGACTGCGCTGCCTCACCAGGTCCTTACCACCAGCCGAGGTCAGAGAGCCGCAATCCTTGCCCAGGCTCTCACAGCATCTATGAGTTGGGGCCCATCGGCTGTCAAGGTTAGTCCCGTGCCGAAAGTAGAAAAGACCAAATGAGGCAAAACAGAGGGCAGGTGAGCGAGGGCCTGCCTCGTGTTCCTCTGGGCAGCGAGATCCCTGGTCATTTCCACATTATGCCCTTTGCATTTCTGTACTCTGGGGTGGATTTTTGGCGTACTCAACCAAACACCTCAGCAAAGTCACCATTTCGCAGGCAGGACTGGAGTTGTGTGTGGCAGCAGCTCCTCCTGGCCGGTGGCGTGGAAGCCAGGTGCTGAAGCCACCCTCGTCCTCGCCCCATCTGCTTGGTGCTCTTCCTTCTCTGAGCAGCTCACCGGGCTCCCCTGAATCCTGCTTCATGTTGGGAAGACAGAGGGACAGGGAGGGGACCAGCCAGTTAGTGCCATATGTAGTGGTCATTGTCCAGCAGCAGTTGGGGTGTCCTTCTGTGGCTCTAGCCTGGGGCCACTGGCACTGTGGCTGAGCTCCCCCTATCTTGCCTCCACAGGCCATTGAGAAACTGGTCAGTCTTCTCAACACCCTAGACAGGTGGATTGATGAGACGCCTCCAGTGGACCAGCCCTCCCGGTTTGGGAACAAGGCCTACAGGACCTGGTATGCTAAACTTGATGAGGTGAGGCTTCCGGGACAGGCTGGGGCTGGGCTGGCGCGAGTGTTCCTGGCACCAGATGAGGGAGGCTGGTGGTGTTGAAAGCAGGTGTTTCACGCCTTTGGCCATTTCCAAACCACAGGGAGTTTGTTATAGTGGCAGTTCCGTTTCCCAGAATCACATCTTATCCTCTGTCCTGGCTGTTCATGGAGGCAGCGTATTAGTGACGATGGAAACACCCCACATACCCGTCTGTGGAGGGCTCACCGAGTCAGCCTGCCCACTCAGACCCAGAGTACTGTGCAGCTGTGAGGAAGGCCGCCCGCTAGGCAGCAGGGGCCATGGCCTGCTGTAGGACTGGTGGAGGTGCGGTGTGCACAGTAGGCTACTTTTTCGTAAGAGAGCGGGGAGATGTGTTCGTATCGCTTATATTTGAATAAAGAAGCATCCCTGCAAAAACGCACAGGAGGCTGTGAAGCTGTACTTGGGTTTGAGGGCAGAGGAGAATGGGGTGGAATGAGACTCAGCGCATCTCTTCTTAGTGTTTCCATTTTTTATTTATATGAAGGTGTGACCTGTTTGAGGCAAACAGTCAAAGCTCCAGGGCCTCAGGCGCACACCTTGGAAAGGAAGAGTCTGTAGGTCTGGGGAGGGTCTGGGAGTCCAGACTTCCACCAGCTTTCCAAGAGATGCTCGTGGCAGGTGTACAGTTGAACTTAGAGACACTGACCCCTGCTCCCCGGCCCACGAGGAGGAGAGAGCACAGCACTGTGCCGAGGTGGCCTGGGCTGCTCTGGGCGCTCAGATGGCACCTGGCTGCTTCCAAATGTTGCCAGAGGCTGTGTGTGCTCACTGGGGAGAGAGAGAGAGGAAGAGAGACGGGGAGAGGGGGGGACACAGAGGGGGACAGAGAGGGGGAGAGTGAGAGGGACAGAGCATCCCCCCACAGGAGATGGCCTTGGCATTCTCCCTTCTCCTCCATTTCTCCTTCCACTCAGGGTTTTGGCAGAGGTCCTAGACTGGAACTGTGTGGTTGACCGTGAGGGATCCAGCTGCCTTAGCATCAGGCCATGGACTGGCATACACATGGTCTTTATCTTAAAGAAGTATTTATTTAATTTCATTAATTATTATTATTTTAAATTTGCTGTAGCACTCATGCGTTCACCAGGGAGACAGGGAGGGAGTGAGGGAAAGTGAGAAAGCAAACCACCAGCTCTGGAACTCAGAACATGGTTGGCCATGTGGGAGTCCAATGCCCTAACCCGCCATGCCACTTGCTGGCCCTGGCACATGGTATTTTATTTTATAATAATAATTATTATTATTTTAGAGAGATTTTTGTTATGTAGTGCACATGCTCACTAGAGAGGTGGTGAAGTAGAAAGTGAGAAGTCGCCTCCCAGGGGAGATGGCCTTGCCACAATCCCTTCTCCAGACTACTGTCAGGATTTTGGGTATGGCGGCAAAAGTTTCAAACTGCTGGGTCCAGGACCTGAACCATGGTCAGCCATATGTGAGTCCAGTGCCTTAGGTGAGTCCGTTATGCCACCTGCTAGCCCCCAGCACATGGTCTATTAAAGAAGACCTTTATTAAGTTATAACTTAAGAGAAAGCTGATAAATTGGGCCAGCAGGTGGTGTGGTGGTTGAGGCACTGGACTCCCACATGTCCTACCTTTGTTCAAGTCTCGGACCTGGCAGCTTGCTTTCTCATTTTCCCTCTCTCTCTTTCTCTGTTTCTCTTTGTTGAGTGCATATGGCCTATAGCAAATTAAAGAATAAGAATAATAAAATAAAATAATCCTAAGTGTTTGCCATGAGGTGTGCATGCTCATCAGAGAGGAGAGGCAGAGTGAGAGTGTGAAGTCACTCCTGGAGGGGGTAGCCATACTGTAATCCCTTCTCCATCCTCTAGAGATTTTGGGAACATACACCCGGCGTGGTTTTCAAACCACTGGGTCCAGGACTTGAACTACCGTCAACCAGGTGGGAATCCAGCTGCCTTAACCACCACGCCACCTGCTGGCCCCCAAAACCAACTATTCCCAAAAAAGGAGAGAACGTTGGCAAGTCATAGTCGTGTAGCTTGTTTGTTTCTAACGTCTTACTCATGCAGCCCCCACCTGCATCAGCTAGAAGCCATTCCCGCATGCCAGCAGGGTGCTCTTAGCCCTTCCCCGTGACGTCTTCCACTCCTGGTTTCTATTCTTTGTTTTTCTTTCCTTTGTTTTTTGTTTTGTTTGTTTTTGTTTGTTTGTTTGTTTGTGCCTGTTTTTGAGTTTGGTATAAATGTCTAACTGCTGCTGGTTTTTTATTTTATTTTTTTAATTGCCAAATGGTATGTGCACTCACTAGAGTGAGAGGGAGGAAGAGCAAGTGTGTGACACCCCTGGTGGGGCATGATCACACCGTGACCCCTTTTCTTCGTATCTCCAGCCCGTCAGGATTTCGGGCACGCATGTACATGAGTTCAGTATGTGTTCTGTTTTATTCTGTTTTTAAAGAGCGATTTTTGTTATAGGGCATGAGTGTTTTCTGGAGAGAGAGAGAGAGAGACAGAAAGCGAGAAATCACCCCCCGAAAAGGGATGACCACATTACAATCCTCCACTCTCCTCTTGAGATTTTTGGGCACACACTCATATGTGTGTGCGTTTCAAGCTACCAGGTCTGGGATGCGAACTGCAGTCGGCCACGTGGGAGTCCAGTGACATAACCATTATGCCATCTGCTGGCCCTGTCCAGTATGTCCTTTAAGCTACTGGGGCTGGGATTCAAACTCTGGTTGGCCGTGTGGATCCTACTCCCTACACATGGCACTTAACCACTTGCTGTTCCATGAGGCTGGCCCCTGTCTGGCTTCTTTTGCTCAGCATTCTGCCTGGGAATTATTGATGTGGTCCTAAGCTGCAGGGAGTCTTTTTCTTCGCTGTGTAGTATTCCGTTTGTAGTACAAATAGACGACAGCGTACTCATTTCCGTGGTTTTGGACATTTTTCTTGTGCTTCCACATCCTGGCTGCTGTAAAAGCTGCTGCTCTGAGTGTGCCTCATCTGTCTTTGGTGGACATAAGGTGCAGATCTGGCCACCCCGACAGTGCGAAGGATAATGGCACTTCAAGATAATGTGCTGACCTCAGTCTCTGCAGGCCTCTGGTCAGTGGAGTTGAGTGGCTTCTTTTCTGGTTCCTCTTGTCTTGTCCAGGCCTTGGTCTTGGAGGAGGAGTCGGCAGGTGAGCCACCCAGGGTAGTCTCGTGGCACAAACAGAATGTTCTCCCTTTCTTCCCTCTGGGCCCTGAGAACAGGCAGCCAGGCTGGCCAGGCGTGGCAGCCTGAGCCCCAGCCAGATGTCGCCTCTGGGCGCCCCTGCCTGCCCACCAGGGTGCCGCCACTTCATTTCTCTTGTGTTATCAGGAAGCAGAAAACTTGGTGGCCACAGTCGTCCCCACCCATCTGGCAGCTGCTGTGCCCGAGGTGGCCGTTTACCTAAAGGAGTCGGTGGGCAACTCCACGCGCATTGACTACGGCACAGGTATGCCCGTGGGCTCTCACTTGGCTTCACTGTTTGCTTTTCTTGGGCTGCTTCCTCTTCACACTGGATGGTTTTGGGGCTCTCTGAGCAACGGAGAGTTCTCCAGGCCTGGGGTGCCAGGCAGCTGCAGGGTAGGAGGGTGAGGGCAAGGTGGGGGGCAGTGTGGCGAGGCCTGGTGCTGCATTCCTGACTCAGTCCACCAGGGGGAGCTGATGCCACATGCTTGGTGCCTGTTCGCAGAGCTGAATTCCCTTGGTAAAGATGGTCTTTTTTTGTAAGCTCCTCATAATCACCAAAATGATGATTTATTGAGCACTTACTGTATCTCAAGGCAACTACTCACCCGAACTTTGAGGAGTGAGAGAGGCCCTGTGGTAGCATCAGGGCGGGCACACCCCGAGCCCTGCTCTTTGGGCTGTTGAGCTCTTCAGATCTGATGCCCATGCTGGCCAATCGGACTTGGACCTTGACAAGAGACACTGTGTGGGCACCTTGGAAGGGGAGTGTCCTTTACCGTAGGGGTGGCCTGTGTAGCCAAGGAAGATCCCTGCTTTGGGAAGGGCCCGCCTTTCCTTGCCTGAAACAGCAAATGTGAGTCCTCTTCCTTCCTGGGAACGTGGGCCACAGGGGAAGCCCAGGCTAGGCAAGCTGGAGAAGGGCTCTTTTACCTGTGTCCTGGCAAAGTTTTGTCCCCCTCCCTGTGCAGCTGGGGTAGAGGTATACCAAGTGTGTGGAGATTTTTAGAAGGGGGACTTTGACCACGACCAACAGGAAAAAAGTCCCAGAGGGAGGCCTAGCCAGGTCAGCAGGTGCTCCCAGGGACACGAGAGCCCCTGCACGGCTGCGCGCACCCAGGCTGGTCATAGCTGGAAACCAGCAGGTGGAAGCAGCCAAGCTCACCAGACCCCAGAGAGACCTTCATTCTGTGGAAATGGGGCAGGAAGCCACCGAGATAGCTGTCCTCGGTTTCCTCCAAATAGTTTTTTCACAACACACGACCCGGGGATTCAACACAGTCCAGGCGTAGTTTCTGCGTTGGCCATGGCCGGGTGGGTGCCTGGAGAGGAAGCAGGGTGCCATTGACCTTGTAACCTGATAGCGTTCCCTGCTGAGAAGCCTGTGGTGGCTCCCTTTGCCCCTAGGATAGAGTCTAGCTCTGTGCTATGGCTGTCGAGGCCCACGGACCTGCAGCTTCACCTCGCCATGCTTTCTCCCCCACTCTCTCTGCCTTCTTGGGCTCTTCCCACAGACGGCCCTTGGGGCCTGTGCACACGCTGGTCCTTCTGGCTGGAATGAATTTCTTGCATCCTGCACTCTCTTCACTTTCCAACTCCCAGTCACCTTTCAAATTTCCTATGAAATGTTAGCTCCTTAGGGGAGACCTTGAGCCCTGTGTCAGAGTCCCCCTGAGAATCGTGGTGGTAGTTATATGTTTAATGTCTGTCATCTCTGATGGATCACAATTCTCCGAGGGCAGGGACTTACCTGCCACTGTCTCCCTAGTTCTGATGGGGATGGTGACTGCCCACATAGTAGGTGTTCAATAAATACGACAGAATTGCTCAGTGAGCTAAAGGTACACAGTGACATGTAAATGCCCGCTGAAGAAGTCAACGGCCTCGGCCCTTCGGGGTGAAGTTACATAGAAGACTGTCAACCTGGCTGTTTTTCTCCCCAGGGCATGAGGCAGCCTTTGCTGCTTTCCTCTGCTGTCTCTGCAAGATTGGGGTGCTCCGGGTGGATGACCAAATAGCGATTGTCTTCAAGGTGTTCAATCGGTGAGGGAGAGGAGGTTCGGGGGTGGGGTGGCTGCGAGTGGGAGCAGGAACGAGAGTGGGCGCAAGGGCGGGGTCTCATCAGATCGGGGGTGGGGTACCGAGGGCCCTCCTGAGTGGCTCGCAGTGCTCTTGGCCTGTCCTGATTGACTGGCTGTGGAGAGGTGCCCAAGGTTCCTTCCGACAGGTTCAGATTCACCTCTGGGTAGAAGCAAGTGAAGGCAATGCCATGCAGTGATGCCTGATGTGACCACATGGAGGCGCCACACTAAGCACTTCACTTGGAGTTCACTTAATTCTCACCACTGCCCTAGGGAGTCGCGGCTGTTACTCCATTTTCTCGAGGAGGAAATAGAGGCATAGGACCTCTTCACTGAGGTCATACAGCCAGCTGAGCCTTGGTGACCCGGGCAGCAGCGTCCTCCCAGAGCTCCGTCTCCACTCCCGGGGCCTTGGCCTGGAGAGGCCGCTGCTGTAGGCCTGTGGTGGGGTGGGGGAGCAGTGTGCGTCAGCCACAGTGTCAGAAATTCCAGGACCCCGGTCATCTGCTTGGGCTCTGACCAGTTTGCAGGCTGGAGGGAGTGAGGCTCCTGCCTGAGGTCTTCGGTGCTGGCAGGAGTTGATGACACTAAAACCCAGCCCCCACTCAGTGTTTTGTTCCTCTTCTGGTCCAAAAGAAGGCTTGGGGTGGGGGGACAGGTGAAGCGATGCTGTCTGGAGAGCGACGGCTGACACACGGCTGGCTGGCACTTGTCACTGCAAACTGGATAGAGACCAGTGACACCCTTCAGTGGTTGCTCCTGCCTCCTCGTGCTCCCAGTGCAGAAGGCTTGACGGTGTCTTTTTGCCTTTCACCCTCTCTCCTTTCTTTCCCGCCCTCCTGTGCAGGTACCTTGAGGTTATGCGGAAACTCCAGAAAACTTACAGGATGGAGCCAGCTGGCAGCCAGGGCGTGTGGGGCCTGGACGACTTCCAGTTTCTGCCCTTCATCTGGGGCAGTTCACAGCTGATAGGTACCTGCCCCACTGCTCCTCCTCCCTTCCTCCTGCCCAGGGCAGTGACAGCTTGTGGAGCAGGGAATTAGACTGGCTATTGACGAGCCTCCGTGCTGTTGACCTTCTGCTGCAAGCCGCTGTGGCGGCAGAGTGCCACCAAGATAATGGAAAGTGACGTGGCTGGAGCGAGGGCGAGCCCGGGGCACAATGGACTGGGTGAGATGCGCCAGCTCCTGGCAGCAACTGCAGGTTGGGATGAGGGACGCTTTTGACTCCGTGACCAGCATCAGCCCCTGTTGCTAGTGAGCTGTGTGCAGGGCCAGGTGCGGGAGAGGAGCCGCGCTCTGCGGGCCCAGGGGCAGTGCGCTCTTGTCTTTCCCTGGTCTCAGAAACCCTCTTCCAGACCGTTCAGCTAGTTGGGATTGAGCAGGGGCAGAGATTGCAAGACCACCTCTGTTCGGTGTAGAGTGAGCTGCCTGCCAAATCCTGTTCCCGTGTGACCAGGGGAGGGCATGGCCTATGCCGGGCACTGCTCTCACGGCCTCAGTCGCTCACCTCCGATCCCAACGACCTGAGGGCCTTCGCTCCCGAGGCCAGCCCCACTGAGCCTGCCTGGGCCAGGTGCCCTGCCGAGTGCTGTGTGTGGTAGTTACTGTTGTTGGGTCCTCGGGGCCCTTGGGGGCAGTGAGGCACTAAACCCAGGTTGTCATCCCCACTGCTCAGGCAAGTGGACCGAGCCTAGCCTTGGAGGGTACTGGCTGGGGAGCGCAGCCCGGCTGGGGCTTAGTGCCCTGGCACGCATTCAGGCATGAGGCCAGCTACTGCTCCTGCAGGAGGGTGTGGGCACCATGCAGGACTGTGGCCCTCGGGTGGACTGTGCCGGGCTGGGGCAGCCCGTGGGTTCTAGGACTGGTCCTGAGCCCAAGGCTGCCCTCGGCTCTTCCCAGACCACCCACACCTAGAGCCCAGGCACTTCGTGGACGAGAAGGCCGTGAATGAGAACCATGAGGACTTCATGTTCCTGGAGTGTGTCCGGTTCATCACAGAGGTAAGGGGGGAGCTGGGTGGCCTTGGGTTGGGGCGGGGGGCAGGCAGTCCACACATGGAGGACTGGCGCCAGAGACAGGTTCTTGGAGAGGAAGCCCCTGGGCCTCTCCTGAGGGGTCTAGCCAGCTCCAGAGCCCAGGACCTCCTCGCCCAGATGGGGGGTATCTGCTGAGCCCACAGGACCGTCAAGTGGAGGGAGTAAGACTCAGGTACCAGCTGGACAGAAAGGGTGGCCGGGTGCCGTGGGGCACACCCGTGTCTCTGGGGGGCCTGCAAGCTCACGGGCATATGGGATGAGTCCCAGAGGGGTCGGAGCCACATCTTTTCTGCTGAAGGGACACCCCTCTGTCAGTGCCGGGGCATGAGGACCTGGCCCAGCACGGTGCTGGCGGTCAGCCCTGCTGGCCGGGCTCTGCTGGATGTGGCTGTCTCTCAGGCAGAACTCCCCCAAGTGGGGCGTTGAGCCCCTTCACCCAGATGGCCCGGGGGAGTTTGTTAAGATGCACATTCCTGGGCCCACCCCCAACTTTCCCAGTTGGAATCTCAGGGGACCAGAGCCAGGAGACTGGGGACCCACCACTCTTGGGGCCTTTCTCCCAGGAAGCCTCAGAACTTTCATCCCCCCCTGCCCTGCCTCCCAGCCCAGACTTCCCTGGGTGCCCTGGCTCTGACTGGGGAGGGTTCTCACCCTCTTCTTGTCATCCTGATGTCCGCAGGCATGTCCCTGCCTCCATGAGGTCCCTGGCACAGCAGAGGGCCTCCTACCTGTGGGGGCTCCTCCCCCAGCTCCCATTCTGAGCCCCCTGAAGAGGGGAGAGGCTGGTTAAGCAGCCTTGGCTCTTCTGATCTCTTCCTGGTCAGCATTCGGCTCAGGCTGCTGCCAAACTCTGGAGGCCAGAGGGGAGTGACACGTTTTTTCCAAGTCAGCAAATGGAGCTGGGACTGACGGCTGGGCGGCCGGCCCCACTCAGATCTGCTGCCTTCAGCAGTGTAGCAGGCCCAAGGTCGGAAGGACTCGGGGCCGCCTGGCTGGCTGCCTTGAAGCCAGTCACGCGCTGCTCTCGACCGAGTGGCTGCGAGGGTCTGCAGAGCCCTGGGAGACCCCGGGAGGAGCAGGAGGAGCGAGTGGGAAGGCGGGGTGCGGAGTCGACGCCCAGCTCTCTGCTGGGGGCTGAGGCAAGGCTGTTTTGGCTCCCCCCCGCCGGCGCGCCACCAACT